AGGGGCAGCCCCCGCGTCGGCGACACAGAAGGCCCTCTGCGCTCGCGGGAGGCCCCCGAGGCGGGAGGCGGCGGCGGGCACCATGTCGGTGAGCGACATGTTCATTGCGCTGCAGGGCGTCCTCACCGCTGACCAGGACATCCGTGAGGTGGGCGCGGGGCCGGGGCCGGGCGGGGGGCGCGGTGTCCGCGGTGCCTTGTCTGACGGCGCCCTGTGCCCGCAGGAGATCCGGAAAGTGGTGCAGGCGCTGGAGCAGACGGCCCGAGAGATCCTCACGCTGCTGCAGGGCGTGCACCAGGGAGCCGGCTTCCAGGACAGTGAGTCCCGCACGGCCGCCTTCCCCGGGGGAGCCGGGAAAAGCCCTGTGGAGCGGGGGCGGGAAGTACCCCCCGGGGTACGCGGGTTCCTCTGCCACGGGCGCCCCTTTCCCGGGTTTTGGTCGCATGTGGGCGCTCCTGCGGTGTCCTGCGTGGGCTTCTCAGAGGCTGCTGAAGGCGAGGCGAGCGGCTAGGAGGTGTCAAGCCAGATAAGTAGAAAAGCTGCCATTCATTCTCGAGAAACACCGTTGTTTTCCATTCTCCTCTCACTAGATTGGTGTTTCACTGTCTCGGTGCAGAAGAGCGCCTTCTTTTTATAGCTGCTCTTTTTCTGGGCTGTTGAATTGGCTCACAGATGTCACGCTAGGTGACATGCACGTCGATTTTTATATCCTGCTGATTCTGACAAGACCTGTAGGGCCTTTGTATCTGTATCTCTTTTCTCATCTCTTCACCCTACCTCCCAGAAAGTTGTGATGATCTGGAGAGAGTTCAGGATAGTGTGGGAAGGGGGCACTTTAGTCTGGTTTGTATAAGACTGACTCTGTGTGTGCATGAATATAAAATCTGCTTAATAAATATAAAAGCAGTTTGTAAAGGCTGACAGAGCAGGAGCTGTCTTTTGATGCGTGTTTGAGTGACAGCTGCAATTGTTCTACTATTTTTGAGGTTTGGATTGTAGCTAGCCTGGCTCCTTGCTCTCCATCCAAATTTGTTTTAGATGGTTGACATAATGTTTCTGGGCCTACCTGTTCCTCCAGGGTGTAAGAACAGCACTACAGCACATAGATGCGAAGTGTGCTTTTTCTGTTCCCCCATCCCCATTTTTAGACTTACTAGTGAAACTATTGGAATAAACAGGTTTTTTTCCCTTAAATGCGTGACTTAAAAGCTATTTTTTCACATCAGTATCTCCTGAGAAGCAGCAACCATTCTGATTTTCCTGGAAGCTCTTGAGAGGAATTTGGAAAGGGGAGAGATCTGTCAGGCTACCTTCTGAAGGTGAATAGAAGAAACCTCACCAGGTGCTGTTTTATTCACCTGCAGAGCTGACTGGTTGTTATCAGCCTGATGACATTTACTAGCACGCTTGAGCTGGAGGCCTGGGATTTCTTGGGCCTCTGAGAGAGTATGTGCCACACCTGAGGTTTGACCTCTGCTGGCAGGTACAACTTCCACCTCCTTGGGAAATCTGGCAGTGCTAAAAATTAGAACTGCTAATTGGTTGATTTACAGAAGCATACACTCATTCTTCTAAGCTGAGTAAACCTGTGGATGTTGTGATAGTTGTTTTGTGTCCGGTTACTTTCCAGTATTTAATAGTAGAGGCGGTGTCTGGCTCAGTGTATTTTTATTTGATTTTTTTTAATTCAGGGAGAGAGCTGGTCCTGGCATTTGCAGAATCTGAGAAGAGACTTAGAATAGTTTAAAGGGCTTTTTTTTAAAAAAAAAAAAAAGAGAAAGAAAAAAAGCCTATCTTATAAATTCTTGTAATATCAAAGATAAGGAAGGCATCCTTAGTAGGTTAGGAGTTAACTGATGATAATAGACCTGTCAGTTTGTCATCAATTCTAGGCATAATAAAGTAAGTCAATAAAGGTTTAGATTAGTAAAGGTTTACAGCCGAAAAATATAGTGTTGATTAGCAGAAGGATAATTAGGGGCATAAATAGCATTTTGTCAGATGTCACATATTTAGACTAGAGTTTCATTTGACAATGGTTGTAGTTCTGAACTGTTGTGCCCTTAAATGGCTGTTTGGCTTATTACAGCATCTTGTTTGTTGAGTCAGTACCACATTTTTGCTGGGAAAGGAGAATCTGGCAGATGAAGGGTGACATTGTATCTCATCAGGTCCCATGGAATTGTTCACCTTCAGGTTCCTTAGATGGTCTCCACCCTGATCTTCTCCTACAATGGGCGGTGAAGACTGAGGCAAAAAAAGTCATTGAGTACCTCATCCCTCTTCATATCCTGGGTAACCAGGTCTCTGTTTCCTTCTGGAGAGGGTCTACATTTTCCCTCATCTTCCTTTTATCACCAACACACCTATAGAAGCTTTTCTTGTTGTCCTTGCCTAGCCAGATATAATTCTACTAGGGCTTTGTCCTTCCAAACCTGCTTGCTGACAGTTTCTCTGTATTCCTCCCAGGCTACCCTGTCTTTGCTTCCACCCTCTGCAGACTTCCTTTTGGTTTTTGAGTTTGTCCAGGAGCTCCTTGTTCATCCATGCAGGCCAACTGGCATTTTTGCCCGACTTCCTCTTTCATGGAATGCATCACTTCTGAGCTTGGAGGAGTTGATCGTTGAATATTAACCAGCTTTCCTGGACACCACTTCCCTCCAGGGCTTTATCCCATGCTACTTTACCAAGCAGATCCCTGAAGAGGCCGAAGTCAGGTCTCCCAAAGTCCAGGGCAGTGGGCTTGCTGTGCACCCTCCTCACTGCCCTAAGGATCTTGAACTCCACCATTTCATGGTCACTGCAGCCAAGGCTGCCCTTAAGCTTCACATTCCCCACCAGTCCCTCCTTGTTGGTGAGAACACGGTCCAGCAGAGCACCTCTCCTCATTGGATCCTCTGTCACTTGAAGAAGGAAGTTATCAACGTGTTCCAGGAACCTCCTGGATTGCTTATGCGCTTGTCTCTCCAGCAGATATTGGGCTGGTTGAAGTCCCCCATGAGGACCAGGGCTTGTGAATGTGAGGCTGTTCCTACCTGTCTATAGAGGGCCTTGTCTGCTCAGCCTTCCTGGTCAGGTGGCCTGTAGCAGACCCCCACTATAACATCACCTGTCCCTGTGCTCCCTTTAATCCTGACCCATAAGCTCTGGGTCGGCTCCTTATCCATCCCCAGGTGGAGCTCCACGCATCCCAGCTGGTCATTGACACAGAGGGTGACACCCCCTCCTCATCTCCCCTGCCTGTCCTTCCTAAAGCACCTTTATCCTTCCGTTCCGATGTTACCTTGCACAGTGCCTTTCCTCTCTTCTCCAGGGACTTAAAATACATCTTGGCTAATCCTGTTTTCTTTGAGTGTTTCATCTAACCTCCTTTACTGTAGGGCAGCTACCTACCCACAGACAACAGCTGTTTCACACTTCTGGCTCCTGTGGTCTCGCCCTGCACCCTGAGCACGAGGCTGTTTGGCTGTGGGATAAGCGCTTTCAGTCGTAGCCTCTATTCAGCTGTGGGGAAGGGAAGAAAAAACAGCAGAGCCTCAGGCCAGCAGCCTATGGAACAGGATTAGAGGATCTCTCTTTCAGCTCCCTCTGCTCCCTGCCGGCAGTGGAGTTTGAGAACTGCTCAGAAAGCTGTTCAGAGCCTGCTGTTAAGAGTCTGAGCGACAGGTAGGATCTTCAAAGGCTGAATTTCAATTTTGTGTGTCTTTGCTCTTGAAGCATATAGTATCAAGTTCAGCAGAACTTCAGTGGTGATATCCAAGGATGCACAAGGATAGTTTGAAGTTATGTGTGTATTGTTAGGCACTGTTGTCTGAAACTTTACAGTAAAGATTGTTTATTTTTGTCACAAGTTCCTTTGGCCGAAGCCAAAATGCAAATTTATTCCTTATTCTGTCCCCAGCTGCCACATGACGGCTTACACGACTGAGGCAGACGCTGGAGTTTGAGGACAGTGTTCAAAAGGCAGCTGTCGGTGACCTTCACACATTTCTTTAATTCTGGCTGCCACATAGAGCACTTTCACCTTTTGCTTCCTGAAGCTTTTATTTTTAAGTGTCCTTTTTTTTCAACAGAAATTATGTTTTATTAATTGAAATAACTTTTTCAGGCACACGTAAGTGACTCTTAGTGGGGCTTGTTTCATTAAAATTAAATCAAGTTTTCAGATTTCGCTTCTATGGATAAATAATAAATAATCCTTAATTAACTTAAATAATCCTAGCTTCTATATGTCAAGATGAAAGAGAGCCTCTGAGGTTGATCTTCTGCCTGCCTTGGGTCATGACCAGGATTTGTGAGACGGCTGCAGTTAAGAAGTACTGGTTTGATTAGTTCTGTCAAGCCCTGGTACTGTGGGCGCAGTGTGGCTGTAACTCATGGGAGGTGGCAGCAGGTGGCATGTAAACATGAGACCACTTCTCTGCAGAGCTATAACGTACATTGGACAGGCTGAAACCCAGTTTCTTCAGATACATTGCTTGAAAGCAGGAAATACTGTTTCCTGAAGGGATGTTGCACCTCATCTAACCTAACTGATCAATAACAAATTAATAAAAGATTTTAAAATAGCGAAGGAAATGTTGCTCTTCCTTTGGTTGTATGAGTGATTTGGCTGTGCTGCTGGGTGTACGTGCTTTCTTTGGGTCTAGCTGTGTGCAGTGCTCTTCTGTTGCTTGTGATCTGGTAGTTGCTGCTTTTTCTAAACCACTGCGTTAGTGTTCTCTCCAGAAGATCTTGTTTCTCTAACACCTGTACAACCCAACTAGCTGCCCCTTCCTCATACTCCACCCACACAGCAAAGACTAAAAATGTCTCGGTATCAGCTCACGCCTGATCTCTGGTGCGACCTTCCTGCTGTGGTGCCACGCATGGCCCTGCCGCTCCAGAGCGCTGCGTGGGTTTGCAGCACGGGGCTTTAACCATGTCGCTGCTCTTGCTAGCACTCTGCCTCACCCCCCAGCATCTGTTCCCGTAGGCTCAGCTCTTCCACACTTACAGGCCCTCAACTAAAATTCCCCCCCTGCTACCGCAGATGAGGTCTGTTTGCCCTTACACTACGCCTCTTTCAGCCATTCCCCATCTCCACTCGGCATCTCTTCAGCACTGCTTGTTTGTTGCCCAGCTCAGCGCCTCGCCTCATTCCATAGACAAACACCACATGGACTCTGTGTTCCTCTGTTCCTGCCTCTGTCTATTTGCATCCCCCCTCGCCTCCTGGGCTGTAGGCTGCCTGACCTGTCCAGTGTTTTCTTCTGTCAGTGCTCGTTACAGAATGGGTTCTTCATCCATGACATAAGTTTGGTAGCAACAGTAATTAGTCATGATTAGCAGAGATTATTAAATAACACTGGGGCATCGCGGCTCAAGTTCAAAACTAAGGACTAGAGCAGATTAGACAGCCTAGCACTCAGGAGTATCTCCTCTACCTGTGTGGCTCATGCTACAACAGTGAGTATTTCTTAGAGGATTCAAAGGTCAGTAGACTGTCTTGGACCACAAAGGAGTATAAGTAGCACTGCCTGCACCAGAAGACTCCCTGTTTACCAAACCCCATTCTCTGTCAAGTACTGAATGTTGGGCTGTTTCTTCTTCAGTACCAAAGAAATGTCAGAAGGCTCGTGAACACTTTGGTACCGTGAGAACACAGCTGGAATCTCTGAAGACCAAGTTTCCTGCTGACCAGTATTACAGGTGAGCGGGACCACATGCAGTCAGACATGGATATGGGAATTGCCTGGGCATATTTGGCATCATTACTTTGGAAGAAAAAGGTTTATGGGCAAAATGCTTCTTTCTGCTTGAGAAGTAAATCATGGTAGAGAAGTGTGAGGTTTTTATTACTATAGGTACAAAATGCTTTTGCTCAAACACCCTCTATAAGTTTTCACTAAAAATATCCAGTATTTAATTATTTTTGTAGAAACATTTTTAGAAAAGAAAAAGGAAAGTTTAAGAAATTGATGTCCTGTTGAAGCTGCCCTTGTTCCTGGGTGCAGAGCATTTGCTGCTCCATTAATTTCAGTTGTTAGGTTTGGGGCATTTGTGAAAACAGCTCTAAATCTGTCATGAAATGGCTGTTTGATACTGCAGGTACTGAATGAAGCTGTCACCTCTGTGTTTTGTTGCTGCCAGAAGGGGACAGTGTCTAGCTCCATCTTGTCAGCTCCAATCTGCTAAGGGAAGGTGGGAGGGAAAGCTCTGGTTGTCTTGTGGGCACGGCAGCCTGAAGAACTCAGTGAACTGAGTAGGTGTGTGAGAGGTGTGAGCAAATGCTGGTGTCCAGTGTAGCATCCTGGGGGTGAAGTTCTGGAGTGCCGAGGAGATGACTTTAAGCTGGTGTTGTTTTGATAAGCCAAAAATATTGCAAAATCCTATGTGTAAGGGTGGAAAATATAATGTATACCTAATGTATGCTTGGTGCCTAACTCTCCAGTAATAGAGGCTACTTACTTATACTTTGACTTGGTGCTTTCTTAAACAGATTTCATGAGCACTGGAGGTTTGTGCTTCAGCGGTTGGTGTTTTTGGCAGCATTTGTAGTCTACTTGGAGTCAGAAACGTTAGTGACCCGAGAAGCTGTTGCAGAAATACTTGGGAGTAAGTTAATTTTGTAACTGCAAAGAAAAAGTTTGTGACGTTTTTAGACATTGTAGCTTTCACAGGTACAGGGAAACAGCAGAACTTAATTTCTTTTGAAGAAACAGCTTCCAAAATTTATCTGTTATTTGGCTTCATTATATAAACAACAAATATTTTTAGAAGGTGGAAATCAGCAAACCTAATATGAACATTAATAAGTTCTTCATCAATGAAGATTAGTCATTCAAATGGCATAAATTTACCAAAAGAGTAATACAAAGATGAGAGCTTATTTTTCTCACTTTGTGATTTTGTGTTTAAAAAGTGTGGAAAACACATTAAATTCTTATGCTGTAAGGGAATTGTGTCCTCCCAGAGGAGATGATTTGGGAAAAAAGAAAAAGCAGGAAAATATTTTTCTAAAAACCAGCTACAGACCCCTATCCTGTATATTGATGTAAATTCAGTTATTCTGTTGGATCAGTTATAACCTGTTGCACATCCAGTTGAGGATGTATGTGATGCTAAATCAAAATGCTGAGAAGAGGCAGTAATTGCATCACATACAGGAAAAGGCTGACTTTTGTAATAAAATCTCATAAATTTGATACTTCAAATTAGCTCCAGTAAACAATTTCAGCTCACTGGTTTTGTTCATGTTCAGTACAACCTGATTACTGCTCTGTTTTTCATCTTAGTTGAAGCTGATCGAGAGCGGGGCTTTCACCTGGACATTGAAGACTATCTTTCTGGTGTATTAACTCTCGCCAGTGAGCTGGTAAGGAAGATATTCATATTTGGATTGAAGCTGACCTGAAACAGCAAAAAAGTAATGTGTCTCATAACTTCCAGGAACAACTTAGGAAACTTAGAAAACACAACACCTTGATCTGAACTTCTAGTAAACTGCCTCTCTGCATGTCAGAGTTATTCCTCACTGATATTTTAAGATTTAAACTAGTCACTTGATTGAAAATCCAGGGTTGTGGTCAACAAAAAGGTAGACCTAGAAATAATCTGACTGCCCGGAACAAAACTGCTTTGTTTGGTGAAGTAACTGATGAGAATAGTGACGTGGTTTGGGTGGGTTCCTCTGCTGATGTTCTCCTGTGCGTGTTCCTCTCTAGGCCAGACTGGCAGTGAACAGTGTCACGGCTGGTGACTATTCTCGGCCTCTCCGCATCTCAACTTTTATCAACGAGCTGGATTCTGGCTTCCGTCTCCTCAACCTGAAGAATGACTCCCTGAGGAAACGTTACGATGGCCTGAAATATGATGTCAAGAAAATTGAGGAAGTGGTTTACGACTTGTCGATCAGAGGACTCAATAAGGAGGCAACAGTTGGTGAGGGTGAAGAGAAATGAAGGATGCTCATTTTAACAGCATCATTGATTACCTCAGATGGTTGCCAATCTAGGAAGCATGCTAGCGAAGCCTTCCTACAGTAGTTTAGAAGAACTGCAGCTGAAAGCTGCTCTCTATTTTCTTACAAAAGGTGTAGTACGGGTGTTAGATCTCAAAATGTTTTGTAAAATCATGTCTAGATTAGGGCAGGAGGCTCTCATTTCCAGTGGAATTCCTCTCTCAAAACACACAGTGCCACGTTCTGTGCACTGCAGCAATAGTCAGTAACTCCCACGAGCTGAAATTCTCGTTAGTTCTGTAGTGTTGCCTCACTGCTCTGGCAGTGATGTGCTTCCGCTGTCTCTGCTCACACACCTTTAAAGATGTGTGCACAGCACGCAGCTCAGTGCAGATACATGTGATGTTTTAGAAAACACAGTGTGTAAATATTACACATTTTTTAAGACACTGATTTTTTTTTGCCTTTTTGTTTCTTAAGTTTTCACCTATGTCAGTAAGTTGAAAAGATTTGCATAACTGTTTATTAACCAGATCTTTTTTAATGGCTTCTGATAATGTATCCAGCTTAACTGAGAAATTGATGAAAATATTCCTGAGAATTTCTCCACTGGAACTGGTGTACTGCACCCGGGCACATCTTTTTTTTTTCTTTCTTTCTTTCCTTCATTTTTTTCCTTTTCTCCAAGACTTCTGTTATCAGGGAGAGCAAGGTTTTCTCAAACATCTGCTTTCACTGGCTGATACTTGGTTTACTGATATGAGTAAATGCTGAGTTTTAATATGATTGTTTGCCTTGAGAAATTGGTATAACCAATTTTATTTTTTTTTAACTACCAAGGTTTCTGAATAGAGCAGTGGTAACTGATAAACTGCAGGTAGTGTCTGAGTTTTAACAACCTATATAGGCCACAACTGTACCTGTGTCCTGGGATTTTAAAAAAAACCCCAAACAACCCACACCAAAACTGTAGTTCGTGTAGTAAAATATTTATACCTTCAGAAAAGGGGAAATTACTAGTTTCAGATACTTTGCATGTAAGATGTTTGCAAAGACCAGCAGCCTCTTTCATTTGTGTAAGTGGACAGACTTGTACTTCCCAGGGCGAGTGTTCTCTTGTCCTGCAGGACTTGGAGTTTTGCCATTCTTCTCCTACTTCTGGTGGTGCAGAAGGGTTAAGGAGAAAAACCAAAACTTCTTTAGGAGGAGGAATATTGCCAGAGGATGAAGACAAACAGTCAAGTTTATGGGGTTTATTAGTGTTTCATTTTGTTAGCAAAGATTTATCACTGTTTCAGTTGGGGTTTGGTTTTGTTTACTGGACAAAAATGATTTCTTGGTTATTTTGGCCAATAAAAGCTGTTCTTTGATTTTGGCCATTTGGTAACTCTTGCCTGTTGTCTGATTATCTGTTGTTATTTGCTTCCCTTCCTCAGAGCCTACTCTGAAACACCATAATTTAAGTTCAGCATTGAGCTGTACTTTGACAACGATAGAATTCCTCAGTTTGGCTGTACACTGTTGGGTTCACCGTGCAGAGGAATGGAGCTGAAGTCAAGCTGCAAACAGATTTCATAGGCTTTTTTTTTTTTATTTTGTTTTGACTGATTTCACCAAGTAGAGCAGGAGAGGTATGGAGGAGTTTATCATTACTGAATACAAGATGTGTCAAGGTTCATCTTCAGAGCATCTCATAATCTTTCATGTTTGTCCTCATCCTTTGTATTGTATGTCACATCATGCAGGGAGATGGTAATATCCCTCTGTCACAGCTGAAGAAAATGAGTATGTAACTTCCTGAGCACTGTGGCAAGGAGACCAGCTTTCAAGTAGTTCTTTGTTCTTGCCCTGTGTCGCTGCTGCTTTCTTGTTTTTAACCCTGTGGAGGTGGGAGGAAGGAAGGAGCTTAAGCCAGTTCTACTGCCAAAACCAGAGACTTGTGAAGCAACACCCTAAGGCTCCAAGATGCAGCCCTGCGGACCAAGGTCACACAGGAAGTGCGTGGGAGCAGGGGAATTAGAGAAAGGTGTTCCCTGAGCGTCGGTCTGGTGTCCCTCGGGTTGGAGGACTCCTGGCACGCAGGACTGGGACATGAGGCTGTGTGGCGGGACAGGTTTCTGGTTGCAGGGCAGGTGTTTGTTAAGGCTTTACTCTGGCTTGTGTCCCAGGTGCTCTGGTTGCGTTTGGTCATGCAACAGGTCTGCTTCCTGACGTGGGATCCCATGTGCCTAACACTGCTTCTCAGGAGATGCTAAATCTGCCAGCTCTTGCACCCTGCATAGTTTGAGAGCTGGTAGAGATACAACAGCACTGCACAGAGGCAGATACTGCGGGAGAGACAACTGGAAGAGCAAGTCTCTTACTTAGGGTTTACAAAGTCTGCAAGGAGTAGGATCCTTCTGCCCAAGGCTCTGTGAAGAGCAAGTGCCTGAGAAAGACCCTCCATTACGTTCCTGGAAGGTTTTGAGCAAACACCTCATCGTTTCCCATTCCTAGGTTTTGGCGAGCCCAGCATCTTCCTCTGGAAAAGCATCATTTGCAAGAGCCAGGCTGCATAGAGTGTTCCCAAGCCAGGTCTGAGGAAGGGAAAACTGCAAGCTTTTTGCCTAGACTGCAGCAGGGAAAGCCAGGGATGTGCTTCTTGTGGCTTCCTTTGTGCAGAGGTAGCCCATAGGATCTTGTGGCCTTGATTATGAATCTGAACATTGCTCTGGTCCTGAAAGATAAGTTGTGTTTCTGTCCCAGAGCTGGGAACAGAGGGAAGAAGGGTAGTTCCAGCAGGACTTGAGTTGGGGGGTGTGTGTTTCTCTTCTCTGACCCTTCCCTTTCCCAAGGGTAGCAGGAGCAGGTCAGCCAGCGGGGAATGGCAGCACGAGATGGAGCTCTGAGGACTGCAGAAGCTTGATGGCTCATGATGAATCAGATGCACTTGAACTCTGAACAAATAACTCCTCTTTGCACTGAATGGATGGCGCAGCATGCGCTGGCAGCTGGGAGGGGAGTGAGTCAGTGCAGGAGTGCTGGAGAGTCTGACTCAACAGCCAGCACGGCTGTTCTGAGCCACTTCAGCCTGGAGGGTGTGCCAGGGAATGCTCTCCTGGCTCTTCTTTGTATTCGCTCACTGGTTTGGGGTTTTTTTTTCCCCATCTTGACGTCATTTCTGTGGGTTTTCTTTATTTCAGTAAAAAGGGCACTTAAAGAGTTGATTAACTGCTCTTTATTTATAGCACTGCCTGTTCAACCCCTGCAGATCAATGAAGGTACTGACCTGAAACCGTTGGGGGAAATAGGGGAGAACAGAGCTCCATGGCACGGGATGCAGAGTGGACCTTGGGGCTGGGCTCTGTCTCCTGGAATTGATTAACGGCAGCCAGAGTCCAGCCACCTCTTTAAACTGGCACTTGTTAAAGGACACCTTATCACCTCCAGACTGCCTTTTTCTGGTGCCAGCACACGTCTTTGTGCAGTGAACTGGCTCCAGGAACAACCTTTATTTTTCAGGAGTGCTTGCTCCCACTCCGGTGCACCGTGCAGTCCCGCTCGTGCTGTGCCGGTGTGGGGAGGGACGCCTCTTCCCCTCCCTGCCGTGCCAGCTTGAACTGTTCACTGGGCTGTAATGCTACATAGTAAACTGATTTTTCTTGAAGTAATTGATCTGCTTCTCGTTTTGTTAGGATTGCCAAAGGTTTTCTTTTTGGGTAAATAATTTCCCTTCATTTTACTGTGAAGTAATGACTGCTGTGCTATAGAGCTTCACTCATGTTTTTCAGCTGGTAAGGTCATTATACACCGAGGCAATTAAGGAGAGCAGAGTGAACACGGATGACTCCTGGGGTATGTGCGTGGGTACTGACCATTACTCAGCAGCAGCCCATCTTTCCTCATTAAGTATTGTCTGTCACTGGATGCTGCAGTGCAACTGTACTGAAGTGTGCGATGGGGCTGTTCAGAGAGCCTCCTGCCTGCTGAATTCAGGAACTGTCATCAAACAAGCATTTGATTTTTGAAATGAGTAGTCCTTTACGGTGTGTATCTCCTATACGCAGACAGTGGGTCAGGCATGAATGACTTGAAGAAGGGTATCTCCTTGCAGTTTCTCTGCCTGTTCATTCTCTCTTCACCCTGCGGCACTTCTGGTTTGCACTGGTTTGCCATCACGGGAGGCTGGCCCTGCTCCAGAGGAGAACTGTTGTCCAAGAACCAGCCCTTTCTTGAAAAAAGGGGGAATACACTCCTTGTCTGAAGGCTTGTTCATCTGCCTGTTCATGCTATGGGCATACAAATGTCAAACCTGCTGTGTTGGGGAAAATGGGAGAGCCTGAGCCCTGCAAGGGCGCTGCCTCCTCCCCGGGAAGCCTGCTGCTCCCACCCCGCTCTGCCTGGCTGCCTCTGGGTCTGTGCTGGGGCCCTGTGCAGCTCCCACGGGCTTTTCTGAGGTCTGACAACCACCACAGCCTGTTGGAGACTTCAACAGGGACTGCAGAAAGCCTAAAGGGAAGGAAGAGCCTGAGATTTCAGCCCCTGTGAAACGGTCCGGGGCTATACAGGCCTTGTGTTCTTTGCATGCTTTGGTTATCCCAGGCATCAGTCATGGGATCTGCTCTGGACTGTCTCACGACCCTCCAGGCTTCCCACTTTCCCCTGCCACCCTCCCCACAACACCCAGAGATGTTTGATGTGGGTGCTGCCACAGATAGGACTCTGGCACTGCACGGGAGGTTCCTGCACTTGGAGGGGAGGGGTCAAACCCACCTGGTGCTTCACTGCCACTGAAACAAAGGGTTCTTTTGCCTCCTCCTACACAGGACACCATCCCTGGGGAGCTGTTTGCAGTCTGGGCCTTCTCACCTGCAGCTGAGATCGTTTCTCAGGGATGCCAGGCCTGTGCATCTCACAGATCTCACAGGGGCAGAATTTGAGCTGGAGAGTGGCAAACTGTCATTACATTCATCCCTGCTAATGGATCTAGAGCCTAATGCCACCTTTTCAACCCCCTCCAGCTGTGTAACTGCCTCGGTCAAGCCTGGGCAGAGACCTGTGCTGGAGGGTGCTCTGCCTGTGTTCCAGTTCCTCATCAGGGCTCTTCAGTCTCCGTTGAAGAGGACCCTCTATGTTCCTGTCACTCAGCTTTTCCATCCATGTTGTAGAAAGGTTTCCCTCAGGGGAGCAACTTCAGCTTCCTGAGAGAGATGTCTTCTGTTCTAATGAGCACCCTTGGGGCTTGTCTGAAGTTTTGGGGGTATGCAGTGTTACTGTCAAAACTTTAGGGGTTTTTTTAATTGCTTGTACCTGTCCCCAGTCATACTGATATTCTGCAGCAGCCTCTGTGAGAGATAACACAGTTCCTTTGCCTGATCAGTAAGACTTTTTGCTCCACTATATTCCACTGTAGTGAACGGAAGGTCACTCAATGACAACAGTGAGATCTTTGAATATTTATCTGATCTCCAGCAGGAGGACAGTTTCCTCTATTGCTTTTGGTTTCAGGTTTTTCCATTTTAAAGTTGGAGAATGTCAGCCTAATTCCAGCTGAATCTCACCTGGTTCCCCAGCATGGATTTAAGAGGAGACATGGCTGACATCACAAAAGGAGAGTTACTACAGCTGCCTCATCCATCAGCCCTGAAGGGCTCTCTTTGACATGCTGCTAGAAGATTTGAAATATCTTCTCTCTGAGCATGTCAGTGACAAGCAAGAGTGCAAGATTCACCAGAAAATCCTGCTGGAGATCTGCCTTCCTGGGAATTTAGACCCATAATAGATTCATGTGCACTGAATGACTGAAGTTCCCAAGGCAGCAGATCTGAGATGATTTCAGGGCTTTTTCTCAGGATTTGGGATGTGCTGAGGTCAGTCTCCATCTCCAGTGACACTTACAAAGCTTCTTGCTGCCAGACCAAAGCTGGTGCTCCCCTTCAGATTTGTTCTTGATCATATAGCAGAGA